TTAAAAAACAAAACAAAACAAAACAAAAAGCAGCAGTAGATTGCCCTACATTTCATGCATTTATTTGGCATGTGAGAGAGCACCAAAGCCAAGGCTTTACACTAAATCAAACACACTGTGGATTAAAGCCACAGCCTCTCACATCCCATCTGAACCTCTGACCAAAAATCTTTGGCTACTTGAGCAACGTGTTCCCTCCCTCCCGCTCTCTCTCTCTCTCTCCCAACTCCGTTATTAGCCCCAAGGATTGGGGGGAAGGAGGGGTTATGTTTGTGCCATTGCATTTACGGTTTAACTGAAATCCAAACAGAAAAATAAAAGTAAAAATTTCCACGTGTCTCTTCCAGGACAAATTTGGGCAACTTAGAAATCCTGTTCTTCCAAAGGAGGATTGCACAAGCTAATGATGCTGTCTGGCCTTAAAATCCATGTGTAAATAATAAAGGAGATACAGGGTTAACAACTGCCTTAGTGCCCTTAGCTTATGTCCACTTGGGTGAAAACACTACCTCCCCATGACTAACCATTTTTTCTTCCAAACACTTTAATTGATTCCTAGGAGGACACTGATGGTACAGCGCTGGTATACAGGTCTCATTAAGTCTCTTGAACAAAACTTAAGAACACTGAGAAAAATCTAGGTTGTCCCTACTCTAGACTCAATTAAGTCAACAGAACTTTTACCTGAAAAGTAGGAGCACATGGCAAATATCACTCTATATTTAAATCTAGATATAGTAAAAAAGTGTCCAAGGTAAACATCTCTACAAAAAATTGCTAAAAATTCATTCAGGATTATTTTTATTCTTGCTCCCTTTTTAGAATGTGTCAAAGTTTTATACAAGTTACATTGAATCCTTACCTCCCGTTTTCATAGATCTGTTCTGGCAGCTGCTACGCACAAGTTCTGAAGAGGTCAACTTTAAGGGTTTGCAAATGTCATCTATGGATTCCTGGTCCTGTATAGCCATTAGATGTCCCATTATTTCATCCAGAGCTGCACACTCTCCACCTTACGCTTCCTTAGTCAAGCCTTTCTTGGTTTCATGCATGAGTCTCTCTATTCAGTAACATTAATAATATGTAACGTGAGAAAATGTCAAGTTAATTAGCACAGAGCACCTGAAAACTTAAGGCAAACCATACACATCAATTATATTAATGAACAAGTAAATGCAATCAAATCAAACATAGAAGCATTGTGTCAAGGTTTGGTTAGTGGGCTTTTTTTTTCCTTTTTTAAACAAGATGAGAATTGCATTTCACATGTATGACAAGATGTTCCTAAGAAACATCATGGTCTTGTTCACACTTGGCCCTCTCTTCCTTTTCGTTATCTACTGCATTTGGTTCAGGTAATAATCTTATTCAGGCTCTCAGGACTGCAGAATGAGAGGGGAAGGGGGCTGTTTGGCAGTTGGAAGAAGTTCAGGTGGGCGTCAAAGGGGATGGGGTAGAGCACCATGATCCACATTCGTCTTTTAGAAGAGCCTAGAATTACTTCTCATATCAAAGAGCTCTCCTGCTCTAAACCCTCCTGCTCTAGCTTTCCAGCATGGTGAGAAGCACCATTTTGAAGTGCATTTTAGATATAAACGTATACCAAAGATGAGACAGAAATGTCAGAAATCCTTAATATGGGTGATGAATTAAAACTCTACTCCACATGAATCAATCAAGAAATACCTATTTCTACAATATTATCAACACCTTAAAAATATCAACAAATTTGTGAGCTTGATGTTTATCACTTTTCTGCAAGAAACTTAAGCCCAAAGAAGTTGTGCCTGTTGTCCCAAAGTCATATCCAAGCCAGCACGAACACATGTATATGTATATGTTTGTGTGTGTGTGTGTGTGTGTGTATATACATACATACACATATACACACATACACATACACACACACACACATATATATATATACATATAGAGAGAGATAAAAAGAATCCACAGAGGCTTGCCTGAGAACTTCCTGAGCTATTTTCCTTAAAAATTCAGGTCCATCTTTTAATAGTATTCACCAAAGATATTTAAAGCTTAATGGTCAACTTGGAAACAATTAGTAAAAAATCTTCTAAAGAAGTTAGTGAATTTGAAAATTAGAAGATTTTATTAATATCTGTCCTAAAGGAAAAAAAAAAACATACTGACCACTAGACTTTAAACCAATCAACAAAACAGTATAATTATTGACATTTGCAAAAACTGAAATACCTGTTCTTTACAGGACACTAAATTTAGTGAATGTTTTGCAAGCTCACAGTCTACATAAAATTCTAGCTCCCCAGTACTAAGAAATTGTCCACAGAGCAAGAACTGCTTTAGTCAATCAGTTTTATCATCCATCCATAAGTACCAGTATTTACTGAAGTGACTTTGATGCTCCAGAACATAAACAGTGACCAACTTCCCCTTCTCTGTAACTACATTACACTTTTCTTCCAGGGTATACATCTGATCTACATCATGCTAAATGAACACATGAGAGTGAAAATGAAGTGGAGCCAATGATTAAACAAAGGAAGAAGAGATGTCCTAAAAGCCACGCCACATGCCAAGATCCAAGATATTAAATGACAAGTGTAACTTGTCAGTTAGCAGCAAGTTGCCTGTCTGCTCCTTGAAACAAGTTAATGGGAAATGACTGCTTGGATACATATTTCTCAAGTATTATAATTTGTTTCATGCATCATGCTAACATCAGCAATTCAAAGCATGTACTGTCATCAGCCAGATACAAAACATTGCACTTGTTATTACTCACATCCTCCAACATGCTGATTTAACTAAAACAGAACATTTGCTAGTGAGATGTTTTCTCATCCAGGTCCTCACGGCCTTCAGTGTCACCTTCCAATAGACCTCCAAAAACTGGAATCTTGAGTCCAGACATCTTCACCAACAGTTTCCTGTAGCCCACGCCCAGATTTTTAAACCCACAGACAGATGGTGAAAATATCTCAATTGATTGGACTGTTGTGGTTAGTAGACCCCACCACCCTTTTTATCATTGGGTTAAAGATACTGTTTTGCAGGCAAAGGTAACAGACTCGTTAATGCTCAGAGTCAAAACTGGGGACTCTTCCTGCTTCTAAGCATACCAGTGAAGTATAGTCTACAAATATTAGCTGTTGTCTGTTGCAAATATGACAACAAATCCCATTTTCACAGATGCATCACCTGGTAGAGGAAGAAAAAAGAGGAAATTCAGCAGTCATAGAGCACAAATCTGTGCAAACATGGTTCTGTGTGTCTGAGAACACAATTTAGGACCTGCACTTCCTCTGTTTTCTCTTTGGCCCTAGGTAAGAAGGAGCCAGCAGTGACAGGATAGTAAAGAACGAGATAAGTCCTGTCCACTCAGCAGGCAGGGATCATCCTTGCCTTCCCCAAACCTTCACATCCCTGCTGCTGAGCACTGCAGTCAGTAGCTGTGAAGCTCACAGAAAATTAAGTTGGCAGAAGTCAAAACAGCTTCAGAAACAAGGTTTCTGTGCTGACTGGCTATTTGCTCCTCTTTGGTCCTCTTCTAGTTTTTTCCGTGGCCATCTCCCCACCTCAGCTTTGCTCTAGCTGCTTTCTTTTTCATTCTCCTCAGCCCTGTGTCCTCCCTTTTCTCAACTGTCATATGACCCTTCCTTTTTTTACATTTCATTACCATATAGTGTAACCAACTTACATTTAATCTATTTTTCCTCGGAATCTGTATAGCTGTGATATTTTGATTTCTGTATTTGCTCTTATCTCCTATAAAAAACTTTGAAAAAGGAAGTAATGGCATAAAGATTTTTTCATGTCCTCCTAGTCCGGCAAAAAGAATCTTGCAAAAATATTTATGTTAATATTAAGTCTAGAAAAAGTTGTCACTGTAATTCACAAAGCACATTTGTCCAGTGTCTTTGGGCATAAGCTTCTAGAAGCTCGTAGAGAAGGAAAGTGTTGCAGATAACATAAGCTCAGTGGTACTTGGGCAACTGGGAGCAGAAACAGTATCGCGTGACCTGATGACAGATGAGGCACCAAGAGAGCACTCATCCAACAGCCATAAAGAAGCAAACAATTATTGAGAAATACACAGCCTGGAATATCGCTGCAGAACTCATTTGACACTGAAGGCTCAATAATAAATGCACTGTAAAGCCAAAGACTGCCTGTGGACTACTCACAAGCAGAAGTAAAAGATAAATGCATGAATGAGCTTTACTACAGTCCATCCAGCTGCAGACTTCAGTGCGTATTGGAGAGGCACTCTCAACTGGCCAAGTGAACCAGGAGTTAAAAAAGAGTTGGCCAATATTATTCAAAGACTATGCGCTGGTGACTGAAGGAAATGACTGGATGCTCTGATAAAGTAAGAAGGAGACAGAGGTTAAGGAGAACAGAAACGAGAACTCAGGGTGAACAGATACAGAAGCCTCACAACTTCTCTTGAGATATTAGCCTTCTTGGCATAAACCACTGGATAGGGGTGACTTAGTGGTAAAACAACTACACTCAGATGTCTAGAGGAAAGGTCAACTGGGATACTTTTTAAAATAGACAGGAAAAATTGTGAAAATAACGCTGAAAAGGATCTTTTCCAAGGTATTTCACAACTCTGTTTACCACTGATGCAATTTTGTAGATGTTTTTGATTAGTTCCTCCACAATATCAGAGAAATTGCCATTGACATGAAGTCCAGAGAAGGTTTAAAAGTCATTTCACTGCCATTAAGAACAAGCTGCACTTCAAATAAAGGAGCAGATTTAAATATTGTCTCAGTGTTTTCAATCAGATACTGAAGAGAACACTTGAGAGCTTTGAACAGCCCATCTACAATCATGTGGTCTATGTATTCAGTGTAGGGTTTCCATTCATCAGAAAGAGGATCTGCCTGGAGCAAATACTGATTGTCCTGTAAAAGAGTAATTTAGAGAATCAGTAACAGGGGCTTAGAATTGCTCTTCCCTGTGTGGATTTCTTATCCCAGTTAACTGATCAGTCCAGGAATAAAGGAACTCTCACTTTGATGAAGAAAAGCATTCCCACTGTTTACAACATAATTACCTTTTCATTGTAACTTTTACAAGTACATCTGGAACTAATTACTGAAAGCTATTTCCCTTTGGAGTTAGATTTGCATCAGCAAGTGCAAATATTTGAAAACAGTTTTACCTTTTACTTAATCCTGGTTTTCCTAAGTATTTACATGTATTTATTGACAATATAGCTACTCACAGCACAAAACATTCACTGGGCCTATTATCATGTGGACCAACTGGTGCATCTTTTCTGCTTTTTCTTGAATCATGTTCCATAGTTAGAATTTTTATTTTTATGTCATCAAAGGACAGAAGTAAGAATTTCTGCCATTTTTCTTGACAAAAACAAGGGTTTGACTCTATCTATGCAAGAGCCAATTTCACATTATGCTTGAATTTTCAGATTCTTTCATCCATATTTCAAACAAGATTCCTCCATCTGCTCATTACAATCCACAGATCTTCACTCTGCCAAGTCAGAAGCAGTCATTACTTGCTTGTCAAAATCCTCCAGTTCATGCATTCTACTTCTCTTTGCAGCTTGGTCTTCTGCAGCCTCTGGTACAGCTTTGTAATCACTGCTAAATTTGCAGTAAAAGGTGAAAAAAAGTCATATTCTTTCTAAGTTCATCAGAAATGTTTTTGACTAGATTCCTTCCTTCTTCGTTCAGTCTATTCACTCAAGGAACCCTGATAAACTAGAAGCACCCCAAATACGTTTGTTAGCAGCTATGTTGCAATAAACTGCTGATCTTTTTTTTTCCTTGGAAAAGAAAAAAGGTCAAAAATCCAATACACTCAGACTTTTAGTTTAAAAAAAATCTAGTGCCAGGTTCTCAGCTGGTGAATTCAGCCTTATTCTTATTAAATCAGTGGAGTCTACATCCTATTTATATATTAGTAGAGATTCTGGCTTTCAGTGTAAACAAAACGTTCCAGAATATCTTGGAAAACTGAATATTTCTGCCTCTCCATAAGACTGATGACTAGGCAAAAGCAGGACGAGTTCCTCCGTACTGCAACACCTCCTCTGTCCTCCTCCCCATAGGTTCCACATGAAATTGCCAAAGTTTAGTTAACAGATAATGCTATACCAATGCAGCTAAACTGGTATTTTGAGTGTGGATGTTACCCTATTTTAAAATCAGATTATATCAGCTGGTTCTTTCTATATAACAAGCTGTCTAGACCCTAGGAAAGCCTATTTTTCTGACTGTCCATATGCAGTCTAGAGCCATTTTAACTTAAATCAATCCAACACCACACCTTTGTCTAATAAAGGACCACATTGACTTTTACAGACAAAACCAGCAA